CACGATCATTTTGGCGACTAATTTTTTCTCAATTGTAAACATTTTCTCATCACTAAACAAAATCATTCGATGAAGACCATGGTCTAACGGCCAAGGAGCACTTTACATCTATCCACTCTATTTTTTTTTTAGGGAAGTGGTTAGCCTCTGTCCTGTCATTTTTCGAAATGCACCTATCCTAGGTCACTTTTTACTATGCGAAACATTGATCTGAAAGAGATTCCCATTCATCGAGACACGATCTGTTGTTTTCGAATACGATTTCATTTGATTCGAGCAGCCAATGCTCTCAGTGCATTTGCCGTTCTCACAGTCCGGGGACGGTCCGGTCGAGGTCTGTCACATACAGATAGGATCTCATTGTATCTATTTATAGTGCGGTACATGAATATACGACTGATATCCAAAGGTTTCCAAGTGTTGAAAATCTCAGACCTTTATTTTCTAACTTAGACGGAATCGTTCAACTATTGATCAAATATTTTCTTTACGACAAATATTAGAAAAAAAATTGGAGTACAACGGTATTGTTCACCAACTGTATATAGATTTTAAAAAGGATTACGATTCTATTGACCGCCAGAAACTGTATAATATTCTAATCGAGCAGTGGATTCAAAAAAAACAAGTAAATCTAGTCAGGATGTGCTTGACGGAGACACTCAATAAAGTTAGAATCGGTAATAATCTGTCGGAAAAATTTGAGGTTCGTTCGGGTTTAAAACAGGGGGATTCCCTTTCGCCTGTCCTGTTCAATTTGGCATTAGAACATGCCATTAGGGAGGTAATGCGTACCGAGAAAGGGTTGGATCTGGGTGGGACAACATCCGTGTTGGGCTATGCTGATGATCTGGTACTGTTAAGCGAAGAAGTTTAAACTATAAAACTAATTACGACAACGTTAATGAAAGCCGGAAAAAAACTAGGACTCGAAATAAACGTGGATAAAACAAAATATATGGTTAGCTGCAAAAATGGCGATACTACTGGTGATATCGATATAGATGGTAATACGTTTGAACAGGTAGATAAATTTAGGTATCTAGGTTCTACGATAACTAAAAAAAACGAAATTGGAGAAGAGATTAAGGTTAGACTGAAGGCGGAAAATGCTTGTTACTTTTCTGTGACAAAACTACTTAGTTCGCGCCTCTTGTCCCGGAACTTAAAAATTAGAATCTATAAAACAATTATCTTGCCTACAGTTCTTTATGGATGCGAAACTTGGCCGCTTACATTAAGGGATGAGCAGCGTCTTAAAGTTTTTGAAAATAAAGTATTGCGTAGAATATTCGGACCGAAGAAGGATGAGTTAACCGAGAGTTCAGACGGTTACACAACGCTGAATTGCGTGAACTGTATCCGGGTAATATAATTGAGGTAATTTCATCGCGGCGAATCAAATGGGCTTGTAAAGTTGCTGGGCTTAGTAACAAGAGAATTCCTAAAAGGTTAATGTTTGCTGTGCCGAATGGTAAGCGTCCGAGGGGTAGACCGAAGCGAAGGTGGGAAGATTGCATTAAAGCCGATCTGAAGCTACTGGGTTTGGACGGGGAAAGGTGGAAGGTGTGTAATAAGCGATTGGTGGTGTCGGCATCGAACCTTCGGGTTCGCTAAGCCTTTTATTATTATTATTATTATTTTCTAACTTTATGTAAGGCGATCACAGCTATTATATTTTCTGTATCAGTCCACTCCATGTTAACTGAGTTAAAGAAAAATACAAACTAATTGGGATTATTATCCTGACGTGTAAAGAAAATAACCTGACAGAGGTAAATATTATCTAAATAATACCCAAGGATGTAAACAAAAATCAACTTTTGTAACAGTATTTAGGGCAAAACTAGGTACATTTTAAAATTATTTTCTATTTTAAAATTCATTTTTTATTAATAAACAACAAAAAAAAATGAAAGCTTTTGACGTAATATTTGAAATTGTTTCGAATAGTAAAAAAAAATAAATCTCTAAAGCCAGAGGGATCCATCAAAGGAGAATGGATGGGCAGTGGACGTCCAAACCAATTGGGATAATTTTCGTCAATGTCCCAGCAGTCTGTCAACTGTCATGTCCTCTCCTAACTCCTCCACCATCAAGAATGGACATCACCAGCCACTGGTTCAACTATTTCAACTGAATATAATTATATATATTTATATATTAAGCGAAGCCATTATATAATAAAATCAAAAATTAATAAATGACAACAAAAATTGGGAAAAAAGTATAATTGTAAGAATATTTCTGGTAAAATTTCCTAGAGCAAAACCAATTTTTCTAAAGCCAGTAAATAATTAATTAACCTTTCGCGCAATTCTGACATCACCACACATTAACAGTTTAAAAAAATAAAAATACTTATCAAAGACCCTCAACACAAGATACACACCAAGACAATCAAAGATACATCACATAATTCATGTTAATTATAACTCAGAAAAACTCAAAGATACTTCTGCTTATGTATTATATGTAATATACCAATCGGTTGATAAATAAAGTGAACTAATTAGAAAAACACTAAAAAAATAAATTAGCTTCGTTGGTATATTTACGTATGTTATGCATGTAAGGTAATGTCTTTTATAATTGAAATACATTTCAATATGTATTTAGAATAATATTTTGTACATTAAGCCAGTAAAGCTGACCATTTTCGGATTTGAGTTGATTTCATCACCGTTAAATGTTCTTATCATTATAATTTATCAATATTACAATTTATAAGCACTCTTTGCTTCAAGGCGAGTGGGGTAACTCACTGGTATGGTACCGAGCTTCCGATGCTAAAGGTCCCAGGTTCGAATTTCTACTCAAGGCAGAAAAACTATTTATTCTGTCTCATTGGTCGTGGGGCGATCCTGTGTAGATAGACCTCCTGGGGCACACCCAGACTCTATAAACTGGGTACTCTTAAATAAAATAATTTATTAAGGAGAAAAACCTGGCGGTTGAGTGTGATTTCTGTCAAATCACCTCTTTGCACAATGGTAGACCAAGAAACCATGCCTTCCCTAAATAGTACTGAACCCAAGAAAGACTCTCCATGGGTTGTAGTGGTACAGGCTTTTATTTTTTTATTATTTTTTTGTTGTGTTTGTTTTTTTTTTTCTATTTTCTTCAATACATTGTTGGTGATTGGAAGGCAGTTTATTTATCGTTTTAACGTGATAGAAAAATCGTTCATATAGCACATACCCTAATTATGAACTTCAGATATTTTGTTTAACATGCCTACATTCCTCAGTGATTGCATATTATTTAAATTTAAAAAAAATGTTTTATCTAAAAAAAACTATAACAACAATAGAATAGATTCATCATCATTTAGATTCTAATCTAAAGTTTCGCCGTTACTGGTATTCGTGACAGAATCAGATATAACACAGCCAAGACTCAATTAAACAAAGTTCCTATTCTAGAGCTGAGAATAAACTCTAATAGACCATGAAAGAAGATAGATTTGGTCTGGAAAGAATTTGTCGTTTTTCGACACAAACCAGTGGCGTTTATTTTCAAACTTACAGAATAAATCAAAGTAAAAAATTCAAATAAATATCGATGAACTCAAATATACTCTCAGCTTTATAAATATTTTACCATTTTATTTCGATTGATAAAAATCAATATATCCCATTTCTTGATTATTATTTTATATATTTTAAATTAAATTGTTTATAAATTCTATATTAAAGTATACCAACAAAGCCATCGACTTAACTATTTTAAATATACAGGGTGTTTCAGGGTTAAGTGGCCAAACTGCAAAAATGAACTAAGGACCTGAAAACAAGAAAAAAAAAATCCTCCGAAGGTATGTCCGCAAACGCTTTGTTTAGGAGATATTAACTTAAAGATTTTCGTTTTATGAATTATTAACGTTTTATGAAATAAATAAAACCTATTTATTTGTTCCAACTATTTTATTAATTAAATGTAAACATGTAACATTCATATTAAATGTTGTTCAAAGTGAAGTTATATCCGCAAACGCTTTGTTTAGTAATTCGATTAGATAGAATACTAATATGGCCTAACTGTATTAAAACTATTGGCAACATAAGGATTAATATTATTTAGAATTAGTATTGGAAACTCTCAATAACATTTATCAGTTTGTAAGAGGCTTTCGCAGAGTACTCGTCGTTATGCCTTTCATTTATACTGATGGTGAATATGCCGATAAGGTGGTGGGCGAGGTGACCGACAACCTGATATGTGAGAGAATTGATATAAAACAGTCATGAGTTCGCGTCCCAGTGCCAGGGGAGTCTTATAACTCCCCGCCCACACCTCCTGGCTCGGGAAAACCCTGTATAGACTTAAAGGCGAGGAAGGGGAGGACAAAAAAAAGCCGACATGGTGTTTGTATACGGTTTTTGCAACGCTAATGCTATGCTGCAATGCTGCTCGTCGTGAATAAGCCAGGCGATTTCCGAATAAAAGAATATCAAACAGGTCTATCTTTAGCTTCATGTTTCGAAGTTTTAGAGAAACTGGTACATTTGCTATAATACCATGTGCTGGTGGTATTTTTGCCCTTTTATGAAATGAAGAAAGGAGTGCGACCATATTACAATATTTTGAAGTCCTTCTTGCAGTGTAATAAAGTAGTTGGAACAAATAAATAAGTTTTATTTACTTAATATAACGTAAATAATTCATAACAATGGAAATCTTTAGATGTGAATATCTCCAAAAACAAAGCTTTTGCCGACATACCTTCATAAGATTTTTTTTTTTTTTTTTATGTCCTTAGTTCATATTTTCAGTTTGGCCACTTAACCCTGAAATATCCTGTATAATAATAATCACGAAGTTATAAAATCATATTAATTTTTAGAAATAAATTGAATCAAATTGGATTTTACATATTTTATTTATTAACATATGGATGAAAATATGATACATATTTTTATTTTTTTTTAACAATGCAATCACGTTTAATTTTTTTTTATTAATAATACTCAGGGATTTAATTTAATGTTGACTAACACCGTGGACTGCTCTGTACAAAAATTATTGAATTAAAATGAGTATCATCTCATCGTCAGGATTTTAATTCCGTCCTGAAATCGTTTATGATTTTATTTCAACCTCCTACGTCTATTTGAGAATTTATTGCAATCATAAACCGTCAACATAGCCTTTGAAGAATCACTGGACTTTTGTGGCTCAGACTGCGTATTGCCGTCAGTTATTGTCTTTAAATTTGAAAAATTAAATTCCTCTGCCGTGTAATAAGAATCCAATTCTGAAAAGGAGCGGCTAGGGCATGGCAGGAAACGACCTTGGTCAGTACTACTTCCCACATCGAAAATGGTGCCGGATGAAGTGGAAAGCTCTGAGTTTGCTACCATACCTCCGGAGAAAAATTGATAAATGTCCCCCTTCAGCAGAGGTTCAAAATCACTGAATATAGTCCTATAGTTCCATACAGTCATAAGTTGTCTAGTTTTCTCTATCATCAGCATAATGTTTACATTAACAGGATTGTGAATGAAAAACTCGAACTCCTTCAGCGATTTACAAGAATGAAATATATTTTTGTTTACCAAGAAGAAAGAAACTACAGCCAGTGTTAAAAAATCTGTCCTACTGGTCACTACATTGTCCCATAGAATCAACCAGTCTTTCTCGACCAATACCTCAGCGAATAGGGTTTCCATTACAGGCCAAACGTAACTGGAAAGTTTTATTCCGGACTCATTAAAGTGATCGCACAACTCCGAGTCAGTTTTTTTCAATATACATTCTATAAAGTAAGTCAAATTTGTTGGTATCAAAGGAAATTCATTGAACCAGTTTTGGCAGTAGTTGACAAGTATAGTTGCAACTACTTCGAACGCAACAATTGGTGAAGGTCTAAACAGTTTAGCGAATCTCAAAATCATTAAGGGGAGGTACTTGATTCTTCCGAACATCGGACACCAATATGCTAGGTTGGAAGCCAGCCTTAGAACTGGATAGCGAAGTTCGATTTGCAGAAAAGGGTAATCCTTAATATTGGCGAAGGAGTTGTGGAGCCCTTTTGAACACAGAGTTCGGTGGGCGAGTACGTTCATCGGCAAGGATAGGGCACTCCTCCATAAGAAAGGCCTTAAATCGTTTGGGAATTGGCGGAAGCTGGATATGACACTATGGATGTCCTTTTTCGCAATTAGTAAATGCCACCTGTATGATTCCTGAACTTCATGACTGAGCTCCTTCAGAGAATCGTGCATCTTCTTCTGCTTATCTCGACCGTCCCACAATTCGTTATGGATAATCTGGATACTTCCTCCACCCATAAGGGAAAACAAATATTTTCCAGAATTATTTACCCTGAGACTGATACAGCAATCGCGATCGATGATATCGACAACAGACAGAACACCTGTCGTCAAATGGAATAGCACCACTCTATAGTGACAGGTCAAGAAGGTGACCATGCAGCTCTCGCCAGCATCATAAGGTTGGGTGACGAATTCGATGTAGTTCAGTTTCGTATATTGTTGAGGCAGCACGAACACCTTGACCAGTGACCACGAGGAGGTGTTGAGGCAAATTAATTTGTTGCAATTACCACAGGCTACCATCGCCGAACCATTCCTGTTGAATGAGAAGCTGTTTATGTAGTACCCGAAAATTTCCAAGGCATGGAATTTCACCGACAAGCTACCACTTACTGAGTCCCATACCGAGAGCAAATTATCACTGGTCGTAACTAGAAATTTGTCTTGCCAAGGAATGAACTTCACCTGCTTTATAATAGAACGTTCCACGGGCTCTATCAAGAATTGTTTTTTGAAAGTGAAAGGATCCCAGACGAATCCTCTATCACGACTTATGCTTACACATTGGGTGCCGACTTTGTTAAACGATATATCCTTTACCTCTTCCTTATGCCCCTTGAATGTTCCGGAAATTTGCCCTGATGGAAGATCGAAAGTCCTTATAGTGCCATTAAAATGGCCTAAACATATTTTGTCATGGCATGGATAGAATTCGATGATACTGACGTCTTTTTCTTTTCTCAGAGTCCAAAATGTTTTTTCTGTGAAATCTATGATATAGCAGTTCCCGTCAGAGCTGTAAGAACACAACTGGTCCAATCTGGGGTTTACAGATATGCGTTTGAATTTCGAAAAGCATTTTCCGTTTCTGAAGTCACCCTTTTTAATCACCAACGCCACTCTGAAAATCATTCAAAGAATCAATAATACGTATACAAGAAGAAAAATGTTAAAATTATGTTATTCTCATTATAAAATATTTTTGAAAAACAAAGGAGTTTTCTGATTTTCAAATGATCATTACGCATTGTTTTAATCATTGCATTTTCTTATCTTTATGGCAAGGTATTGAATTTTCATTGTGATCACATATATCATATCGTTAAAACCAGGCCTATATTAGTATGTGGTACAGACTCCATTTTATTAAATTATTAACATCCGTCTGAAACTTCGTGAATGGATTCATCTTATGGTAACTTACAACATTTTTATTTACGAAAATTTTCGAAAATGGGGAATTTTCAATCTGGAGATAGAGAAACTTTGTTTATTTAATGAAGTACAAAAAATCCGCGGACAAACATTTGCTTTTCTCTAGAATCATAAGATAATTTGATCACAAAATTGAGAGAAAAAAAGTGACCTATAATATTGGACTATTTGTCCTACGTAACCTGGTTATTTTGACATTTTGGGAATGAAATTTATGCCAAACGGCCCAATCTTTTGTAGGTTACCTTGTTTTCTCCATTTTATGATCTAATTTCACATCCCATTTCTAAGAATTTTCGTACATAGAAAAGTTAGGTTACGATATGAGGAAGATCCATTCCCGAAGTTTTAAACAGATGTTAATAATTTGACTAAAAGGAGTCTGCACCATGGGTTATATATTAATAATTTAAATAATTTATTCAAATACTTTCAATTCCAAAAAATTATGTCTTTAAACATTTTTTTTTTAATCTTCCACTAATTTGCCTCATTTGGTCAAATAATATGCAAATGAGGGACGGTGTGGCAAAGTTGGCTAACCCGTCTGTAAAACTCGCGCTGTCCGGCAACCAGATAATCCAAAATTTGTAAAATAAAATATTGTTTCGTATTATTATTTTATAACAATATTTTATTCGTAAAATACAAGTTCGAGTCCCGGATTCAAGAAGGCTTTTACCTCTGGTATTAATTCTCCGTCTTGACCCTTGGCCTGGAAATAAACCCAAATAGCATAAAAGACGAGGAAAGAATGGGCCTAAAAAAAAAATTATATTTGAAAGAAAAATTACGGTACATTGAATTATTCTCAACTCATCCTTTGAACCAGTTTACAGAATAGACGTAAACTATTATGAAAGTCTGAACTGTTTCAACAGAGACCTGATTCATTGGAATAAACAGTGTTGCCTATAAAATATTTTCAATTATATCAATATTACAAATATCGTGTACAACAGGATAGGTTAGAGCCACTTCCATGACTTAAAGACATTTGAGAATCAATCAATAAGCAATGGGAATCAATAAAAAAAACAAGAGAATACACACTTAAGAAAGCGTTTAATACAACTCAACGTTGCTAAAACTACTAAAAATTAACTTGGGATTATGATATGTATACTTACAAATCATCTTCTGATATGTTTGGCAACGGTAATTTTTCGTTTCCTTCTGTTGTGATGTCAAGAGTATTGCTCGACATTGAATTCGTTATAAACATACGAAATGGGCCGATGCTTAAGCTTTCATAGTTTCAGAACGGTTGCTATGAAACCTAGGAAAATAACTGCTGACGAGAATGGTTATACAATTTTTTAAATTTTGTTTTTTTTATCATCTGGTTTAAATATTTCCAACAATATATAGTTAAGCCCATTATGCAAAATAATACGTAACAATAAAAACAAAGCCATAGTTTTATTATTTATAAAATTTCTGTGTAAAAAAAAATTATATTATTGTGTCAGGGCCGCAAGTCCAATTTCGAATTTATTTCCGAGCGAAGTGATTTCATATGATCTGTGTACAGGTCGTCTTGTGAGTGTAAACGTTGCTGTGTGTATACATATTTATTTAGTCAAACAATATTTATTTTGGTTATTGTTGGAATGGAGCACACTATGAAGTATCCGCTTGGAAAAAATCCATGATACGGATAGGATTTCATCAGGAATTTACTTATAAACCGGTGGATATGTATGTAGTGAAATAACTAACTTAACGTTATGTCCAATAGTTTTCCCGTTCTTGTCATTAATTGAATAAATAAAATGATAATAATATTCAAACCATTCTTTATATTAATTCTACCTAATGAGTACAAGATCTTAAAGCTGATTTATGTAAATATTGTTAATAATTATAAATGCGAACATATATAAAAGTTTGTAAATTTATAGAAATATTATAAATTTATTATTATTATAAATTTATAGAAGTCTAACTAAAATATCTATTGAAGTGTTCATGTTCCATTGAAGGATCAGATACCCTCCTCAGACTAGATGTGCCCCAGTAGGGTATTCCAACCCCAGAGTTGATCCAGAGCTAATGTAAAACAATAAATACTTATTTGCCACAGGCTTTAACATCTCATGTCGAGATGTTAAAAAATCCAGTCCATATTACTCAATAATAAATATAAATTTAAATCTATAAGAACTATTATATATACATATAGTATTTTTTAATCTATATAAGTAGTACTGACAAGGAAAAAAAACATGCTACAAGAAGTTTATAATTATTGATAAAAAAAAAAAAAAAAAAATATATATATATATATATATATTCTATGAATAATAAAACCTAGATATACTTAATAAACAGTTCCTTTTCGAAAATAAGTCATTGGGGGCAATAATAATAATAAAATTTCGAATATTTTACTAGAAGATTTTTCGGAGGAAATCGCTTATTTGTAAAATTGATATTTCTTTCTGGAAATGTATAATACATTGTGGGGCGGGGTGGTCGAACCGACTAACAGGTGTGCACAACACCGCCGTTGCTTAGCAACCTGATCTATGAGACAATGGATTTAAAATAGTCACGAGTTCGCGTCCCGGTGCCGGAGGAGTCTTTTAAATCTCCGTTCACAAGGAAGAGGAGGACTAAAAAAAAAAGTGTGTAATACGTTATAAAATATGCATAAAACATATATTCTGGAAATCCCTCAAAATACATTAAAACCAATCTTTGTTTATCAGTTATGCCATAATTTATAGGAGTTGAGAATATTTGTTATTTTCTCATCGGTTCCGTTAAGCGTATTACAATTTTTTAGAAATGAAATATATTTTTATTCCCTCTTGGCCAACAAGCACCAAGTTGATAAACCATCCCATCTCTAAAACTTAATCATAAAATGAGGCCTTAATTTGATAAGGTAGTAAATTATTAAACTTTCCAAGAATGAGAGATCAAATACTTTTGTGATCTGGAAAATATCTGAACTCTCCCTTCCTCTCCCCCCCTCCCGATGTAGGTTCGGATTCCTGTAAAAGTTTGATGAAGCAACCCGTGGTATATTGGGACGGAAGAAGCTCTGGCTGCCCGCGAGAGATGGAATTTTATATTTATTATCCACACATACACAGGCACAAACAAACTCAGCCAAGGGAATCAATAAATCTGTCTTTATATGGAAGGCAAATGTTAATTAACTGTTAATATTTGGGATATTTTTCTGCCTTAAACATTCACGTTTTAATCTATTATACGTATAGCTTTCTAATTAATTTAACACCTAGAACGTTAGTGTGTTGAGTCTGTATAGAAAATAAAAAATAGGCATATAACCAAAAAAAATGTTGTGCAGGGTGTACCGTAATTAGAGGGATTTTTAATGGGAGTGATGCCAGGCCGCAAGAGCCACAAAAAAGTTCATATAAACAATAGGCCAATTTTCAGTAGAAAAGTAGCAAATCCAAGTTTTGTGTTGTTTTTTTTACTGAATCTAAAACAATAACTAAATAAATATTTAATTTAAGTTATTAATAATTGTTTTATTGTAAACAAGATGAGATTTACTTTGCATTCCAAAGGACTTTAGAGCTGCTAAACTAAGTTAAGTTCTGTTTTAGAAATACAAATTATTCGCTATTTTTTACTTTCATTTACGTTTATATGTAATATATAGTAAGGGTAAGTATTGCGATCGTGAAAATTTTCGAATCTCAGTTTTCAACGGAAATACATCCCTCAGTTCAAATAACCAAGTGTCGCAAAATGGTCTGTGTGTGTGTGTGTGCGTTAACAGTCTAGCTCATAAACGAAAAGTAGTACGATATTAAGTATTTAAGGTTTGTATATGGGCCGGATGTGACAGCAACTTTTTCGTTAAAATCGGCTAACCGGAAGTGCCACTTTATATAAACGCTGAAACACATTTTTACAATTTTCTCAAAAACGGCTCTAACGCTTTTGATCAAACTCGGTGTATCATTGTATAATTAAGTGGTCTTTAATATCATTTAGCTCTTATCCCCGTTGGTGTCACCTTACAGGGTGTAGTTCTCTCTGGCCACTAGCTGAGGGAGACCGCGCTCTGATAAGACATAGAGCCCAGTCTCCCTCAGCAACTTAGCCCTCAGTACCTCATAGACGGTACAGGCTAATAAGACGTGCTCGGTGGTCTCCGGTACCCTACAACTTGGGCATAGGGGATCAATGTTCTTACCATGTTGAACAAGCTTTGCTCGGAATCCCCCATGCCCCGTGAGGAATTGCGAGACCCAATAGTCCGGGAGGAGCCATGTAGTTTCCATTCTTGAACCGACGGTGGGGAAGTATTTCCTTAGGGTTGATCCTTTTGCCGTTGTCATCCAACGCCAGTTCCATTCTTCTAATGTGCATTCCCGGAGAATCCTCTTCCATCTGCTTGGGTCTTCACTGATCCTCACTCGGAGATTAGCCATCTCCACCAAGATAGATCCACCAAGCTATTTCTCTTCATTTCGTACCGAAAATAGTCTTCACGAAGTTTATACCATTTATTATATACCAATCGATTAATTTTGTTTTGCAGAATTAGGAAAACATATTGATTATACTATTAAATGAGTGATTAAGTATCTTGAATAACAACTACTAAAAGGGACTTCCAGTAAAGTACGCCTGCTAATGTAAATTTACCTGAAAATCTTTACGGGGAAAAAGAAAGTTACATTGGTTTTTAATGTTATTTAAAACTTGTAAATACGAATTTTTACAGATATCAAAAATACCAAGTTTTAGTACTTGATTTTCTAGAGGATTTTCCGGCCAGCAACTAAAGCATGCATAACTTCTCAAGATTTGATCAAAAATCAATGTTAGTGCATCCGTCCTGGATTGTCACTCTTCCAAATCACATCAATATGTTGTGAAATTCATTCTTTTTTAAGCTAGAAATTAAAAAAACTTCTCAAGCAGTTTTATTTAATATCTTTTGGTTTCAATTTGTTTAAATAGGTCTCGTTTATACCATGTTTTATATAGCATAGAGAGCTCTAAGTGTCTAATAATTTTAAAACTACAATGAATTTTTTTTTTCTTATTCTACACAAAAAAAAAATTAATCGATTGGTAGTATATAATAAAATTAAAATCTGGTTAAAGCAAAGGCAAAAATTAATAACATAATTTTGTTCGGAATAATGTAAAATATTTTTCTCATCGGTTCCTAGGGTGCATCATTGATAAGACCCCTTAAACAGGAGTCTAATATTTTTCGACCTTATATCACCAAAAAAGTCTCATTGAAATCGGTAACGCCACGTCCGTAGGCTTCTCTTGTGAGCTCTCCTGTTTACAATTAATATGCTTCTCCCATAAAATTGTATGATTTGTGTTCACGCACTAGCGGATCCAGGATTTAATTTTTTTTGGGGGGGGGGAGGGGGGAGGCTTCAGCCCGAAAGCTTTTTTTTCATATATATATATATATGTATATATATATATATATATATATATATATATATATATATATATATATATATATATATAATTATTTATTTTTAAAAAGGAAAGAAATTGACTATCAATATGAAATAGTGTTTAAGTGGTTCTTGAAGTTCTATTAAATGTAATTACTCGAACAATAATACTTTAAGAGATAGTTTTTAATACTTTTTTCTATAAAACACTGTTATATTTTACCATTTTGAGGGGGCTTCATCCCGGAAGTCTCACTCTCCTTTCCCCTCCCATCCGTAGATCCGCCTCTACTTTAACGTGATTTTCAACTGAAGAGCTATGTCTAAAGACACTAAGACCAAAAAAAGGATAAAATAAAAAGTTTTTAAAAAAATAAGTTTTAATAAATATAATTTTATATCGGAATCTTTAGTTGTTCGGCACCTGGCTTTACTAGCCTTTCATCTCTAAAGAGATAAATCTAGAAAACATAAGGTACTTACCAATTATTTGGCCATCATTAATTATTTACTCTACCATGCTACTTCAGGTGAGAAGGAGTTAGGTTGGGTATTTTTATAAAGCAGCAAAAAAAGTTAACAGATCTATTTACAAAAAGAAATATTTACAGAATTAATACTATGAACAGTACAAAGAAATAAAATACAAGGAAAAAGAGGGAATTCAAACATAATTACTATATACAATTAAAGATAAAAAGGAAGATATTTAAGATAATAAAGATAATACAAATAACAAAAAAAAAGATACTTATTCTATATACAATATTATGGCATGCCACATCTAAACATCTAGAAAAAATAGTCAAGATACAAGTGATCTAAGATGTAAAAACACATGCACATGCTAAAATATGAATTAGTCATCTGGCACAGGAAACAAAAGAGAGTAGAGTTTTGTTTTGTTTCCAGTGCTTGCTTAATCTTGGTTACAATACTTACGTTTC